TTATGCCCCAAGAGCTTGTAACACTCCAAAGAGAAAGGAAAAATTGAAATCGCATCATATGACCCCTCTAAAAACATTACAAAACCTTACCGACCCCAAACTTTTGAATGGTAATGTGGTTTCCTTTGTCAACCAGGACACATCATTTTCAATCTGTATGTCTTAAATCTCTCAATCTCTCCGTCACAGATATGAATCTCTGGACAACCTCCACACAACCAGCTCCTGGTCCAGGCAGTCCTACACTTCAAGTATCGCAAACAGGCCTCATTCTTCTTTGGGAAACACTGGTACTTACAGGAGCGGACGCAGCAGCCTGAGCCCTAGTTCAGCCATCTTCTCTACTGGTCTTAAGCAAAGCTCCAGTTTTCCCCCTCCACCAATCACAACTACACCTGAGCCGTCAGGCCCTGAGTCCTGTCCAAACTCTCAGCAGCGTGGCAGGTATGGACTAGTCACATAGACCTATGTTTAAGTGGGGTATTTCAGAATGAATTGGTTCTTTGTGTCTTTAGTGAATAAATCCAAAGCATTGCTTCATGTAAATGCATTTTCAGTTGAAACACTTTTAAGCCAATTTTGAGTGCAGCTCTTTCTTTCTTTTTTTTTCTTTCTTAAGAAGGATTTCACTCTACCTGACCTTTAACCCCAGGTATTTTTTTTTTAGAAAACAGTGGCTATGCTCTGAATGGAATACTAGTGTACTGCATACTGCAGTGTATACTGTAGTGTACTTTACAGCTCAAAAATTTGGAATCAGTATGATTTTTACTTAATTTTATTATAATTTTTTTTTTATAATACTTTTATTCAACAAGGATGCAATAACTTGATTAGAAGTGACAGTAAAAACGTTTACAGTCTTACAAAAAAAAAAAAAAAAAACTTTTACTCAAAGAATCTTGGAAAAAAGTGTGATGGTTTGCACAAAATTATGAAGCAGCAAAAATGTTAATGTATTCAAGAAGAAGAAAACGGTTATTTCAAATGGCAATAATATTTCACAGTGTTAATGTTTTACTGTATTTTTTTTTAGCAAATAAATGCAGGCTTGGTGAGCATAAGACACTTCTTTCAAAACATTAAAAAAAATCTTACAGACCCCAAGCTTTTGAACAATAGTGAACAGTATATGCTGCAGTGTATACTGTATTGTATACTGCATACAGTATTTCTTGCAAATAGTATTATTCCACAAAACCTCACTGCGTTGCATGCTATCTCTGAAATAAGTACTGTTAACATTTGAATCTAATTTTGTGTAAAAATTTACATTTTTGGCTATGTTATTAAATATGCAGTCAAGGTAGAAATGTTAATTGTTATTGATTTGAGTTTTTTCCACTGAAAGCTCAAGTGGAACATATTGCGTTGTGGGATACAGTATTTCACACGTCATGCTCTCATTGTGCACATTTTGCCAATTCAGTTATTTCATGCATACTGAAACTTACTGTCTACAGTATACATGCAGTATAGTATGGTAGTATGCTATTCCGAAACTTTCAGTACTCTGCCTCCAACCTCTTCTTTTAAATGTAGTCGAATCAGTGCAAGGGCAGAGCAGTGCTGTCTTCTGTCTGACATTGAACTCTGACACTGGCATGTGGTGCCTGTAGGCTGGTCAGTGGCAGGTGGATGTGCTCGAGGTGCGAGCAGCCTCTGGGGAAGGGAGCTGCCATGGTCATCGGTTCCCTGGAGCTCTGCTTTCACATTGGTTGCTTCAAGGTGAGACTGTAGGTCACCTGAAAATGAGAGTGAGTGGGCACTCCGTGGATCGGTTGCACCTTTGCTGGATTTTTAACCTTTGTCATTTGGGGCAAGATCATTAGTCACCTAATATCAGTAAATTCATCTACTTTGGTTTAGGCAATCAGATTACAAGCATGCAAAACAAATTCGAAATGGTGTAGATTTCTGTCTAAAGTCCTAATTTGGAATCCAGGGAAAAATTATGTAAGGAATTATAACAGTAGTGCTTTAACTCTAACTTGTGTTTTAATTAGTAAGTTAATAACATTGTTTGTCAAATTGAAATTTGTTCAAAGTGAAGTCCAGCCTGTTTTCTGATTGCCTCATTGCCAATAAACTTGGCGAAATTAACACATCTTTGGCTAAACTCAGCATAACCAATACCGTTGCATCACCAGAACCCTGCCTGTCACTGGTCACACAGGCTTTTCCAGTCACAAAACCACTGTATTTTCCGGAATGTCAAGTTTTTGTAAATCATATGAAATGTGTTGTGATTTTATATGCCAAAGCAACTTACATGAGCTCAAGTTTATCTGTATAGTGTAACTCCCATACATAAGTAGTTTCAGTTTTGCTTTAAATAAATTAGTGCAGGCTTTGCGTTTTTATATATATACATCAATAAATTATACTTTTTTATGTAACCGTATATTACATTATTGCAGAATAATACAACTGTTTATCTAGTAATAGAACTTGACTTATACAGCCATGCAGTTTTTGACCTGGTACGACCTATAGTCAAGTGTAACTTATTTTCCGGAAAATACAGTATTTGCTTTGGTCTCTTGCTTTCCTTCTAATAAAGCTTGTTCCTTTTAGATTCCTGTGTCCGGTTGCAGGGGTTGTGTTTTGTTTACGGTAGCTCCTTGTTTCTTCACTGCTGCACAGGACGGTTAAATCACTGCTTCACCAGCCTTCACTAAAGAAATCACCTTTTCAAATCTAGCTATGGTGGAGGATCTGCCCACGCTGATCCAGTAATCAGCATTGCTAATGAATAAATAATTTTGCCTGATTTGGGAGGCTTTGCGGGCTTTGGAGTCATTTGTATCCTCTCATCTTGATGTGTGTCCAGACTCGCTGTTTCTTGTTGATCTTGCAGTGTGTCAGCTGCAGGACTGACCTTGGGAGAGGGGCTGAGTCCGGCGCTCAGGTCAGAGTCCGACACAGACAGCTCTTCTGTAACAGCTGCTACAGCAGAATCAGAGGTAAGAAAGAACCAACATGCCAGCATCAATTCAGTGCTTGCTTTGAATAACCATACACTAAAATCTATTGAGAATACTAGCCTGCAGACTAGCCTTTATTCCTGAATTTAATTACACTGCTAATGGTGCTCGGCCCTGATTAAAACCAGCCTAATTGCAGACGTGTTACAAAAGTTGAAAACTACTGCATCTAAATGATGCAAGATCACTTGCCTTCACATATATGATTATATTATATTAAATTAATATTTGGGGTTATATTTTAAATATTAGTATTGAAATATTATAAATATGGTATATTTTAAATTTTGAATATTTGGTAAACTTTAATTTATTTCTGTAATGCAGAGCTGAATTTTCATGATCCTTCAGAAATCATTCTAATATGCTGATTTTCTGCTCAAGAATAATTTCTGCTTATATAAATGTATTAGTAGTATTAAATGGTTGAAAGCAATATACTGTATAAATGTATATTTGTTGTTAGTAGTAGTAGCAATATTAAATGGTTGAAAGCAATATATAAATGTATTATTATTAAGTATGACTAATACTTAAATAAAAAAAATCATTAAAAAAAAAGACTTGGAACCATTAATAGGTCAATACTAGTTTTATTGTTCAATATTAGTATCAGTATATCATTTATTTATTTTTTAAAGATGGTCATGCAATATATTTTAATTAATTATTCAGAGATAATCTCAGCTGAATCTCTCAAACTTTAAAAAAATTATGCCAATTTTTTAAAGGGGTCATATGATGTTGCTAATCATTTCTTTAATTTAAGCTTTCCTCTGATAATTATTTAATAAATGTTCTAGCACACTTTATTTGGCACTTTTTTCCCTTTCATTGGTAGAAATCACATAGTGGTGATGGTGGAAGGGTTAAGTCATTGTTCTGTTCCAGTTAATTAAGAGGAACCTTTTTTTTTCAACATTTTTAAACAATCTGCTTAACAATAGAATTGTATTTGATCTGTCTTACTAACAGATGTTAAAATGTATAATCCAGTAGGTGGCACCCTGGTCGTAACTGCCTTTTTTTCCCCTCCCTATTTAGTAGATTAAATATTCTGTCAATCGGATGGCCTGCACATAGAGGTTGTATTGCATATAATTGTAAAATCAAATTACCTTTGATGCTTCTTTCCAAGCCCCTATGCCAGGTGTTTCTGTTTAAAGTTTACATGTCTCTCTCCTTGTATGTCATAGTCCAGTTATAACTGACTAAACAAGTTAAATTAAGTGTTGCCATGGAAATAAAGCATAATTTTAAATGGAAAATGTATGTACTGAAACTATTTTCACTGAAGAACTAAAACCCCTTTTTTCTTTAAAAAAAAAAAAAACATTTTATCTATCCGTATCATTATCTCTTTATATCCTGGCTGAAACCGATACATACTTAAGTCCTAATTTGGATAATTTAAGAGTTGCTGTAGACCATCGCCAGACTTTTTAGCTTCCTGTCATTAACTTGCTCCCACAGTCATTCCTACAACTGTAACATTATTTTCAATGGTTCTACAGTGCAGATTTGTCTGACTTAATCGTCCTGTGGAGTGTTAGAATAATAGCAGGTACCTGCAGCACTTTGTTCTAAATTTCCATTTTTCTTTCCGTTTTTCCAAGTGCTCCAAAAAACAACCCAATATTTAAACAAGGAACGTTATCACCAACCACTGAAATGTGGTGGTGGTGGTGTTGTTCTGGTGTTTTTATGATGGATTGCATACCAGGTGCATATCTGCCACCTACTGGACTGGAGTGTGAAGCACTGAATTTTTGGCTGAACAGTTTCTTTAAAAGTGGTTTACTGCTTTTATTCACCCCAAAATGAGTATTCTTTCTTTTGTTTACTCACTCATGTATTTACAAACTCGTATGGCACACAAAATACGAATATCCTGGATTCTCTTAAATGCGAACTGGTGCACAGCAAAACAAAAACTCACCGTAATGGTTCATACCACACAATGGCTTGGAGTGAAGAACAAATCAAAGTCATCATTCACTGAGGATCCAGCCTAGTTCTCCTTGGCATTTTCGTGAAAGATGTAGCACTAACCAATGTGTGGGTTTTTTTTTTTCAACATTTTTAAACAATCTGCTTAAGAATAGAATTGTATTTGATCTGTCTTACTAACAGATGTTAAAATGTATAATCCAGTAGGTGGCACCCTGGTCGTAACTGCCTTTTTTTCCCCTCCCTATTTAGTTGATGAAATATTCTGTCAATCGGATGGCCTGCACATAGAGGTTGTATTGCATATAATTGTAAGATCAAATTACCTTTGATGCTTCTTTCCAAGCCCCTATGCCAGGTGTTTCTGTTTAAAGTTTACATGTCTCTCTCCTTGTATGTCATAGTCCAGTTATAACTGACTAAACAAGTTAAATTAAGTGTTGCCATGGAAATAAAGCATAATTTTAAATGGAAAATGTATGTACTGAAACTATTTTCACTGAAGAACTAAAACCCCTTTTTTCTTTAAAAAAAAAAAAAACATTTTATCTATCCGTATCATTATCTCTTTATATCCTGGCTGAAACCGATACATACTTAAGTCCTAATTTGGATAATTTAAGAGTTGCTGTAGACCATCGCCAGACTTTTTAGCTTCCTGTCATTAACTTGCTCCCACAGTCATTCCTACAACTGTAACATTATTTTCAATGGTTCTACAGTGCAGATTTGTCTGACTTAATCGTCCTGTGGAGTGTTAGAATAATAGCAGGTACCTGCAGCACTTTGTTCTAAATTTCCATTTTTCTTTCCGTTTTTCCAAGTGCTCCAAAAAACAACCCAATATTTAAACAAGGAACGTTATCACCAACCACTGAAATGTGGTGGTGGTGGTGTTGTTCTGGTGTTTTTATGATGGATTGCATACCAGGTGCATATCTGCCACCTACTGGACTGGAGTGTGAAGCACTGAATTTTTGGCTGAACAGTTTCTTTAAAAGTGGTTTACTGCTTTTATTCACCCCAAAATGAGTATTCTTTCTTTTGTTTACTCACTCATGTATTTACAAACTCGTATGGCACACAAAATACGAATATCCTGGATTCTCTTAAATGCGAACTGGTGCACAGCAAAACAAAAACTCACCGTAATGGTTCATACCACACAATGGCTTGGAGTGAAGAACAAATCAAAGTCATCATTCACTGAGGATCCAGCCTAGTTCTCCTTGGCATTTTCGTGAAAGATGTAGCACTAACCAATGTGTGGGTAAAGAAAAAAAAAAGTCCTCTCTTAACTGTCACTGCAACTGGAAGCTTAGATTCATCCTGTGAAAACCATTTTGAAATTGGACATTGCGTTACCATAGAAATGGTACTTTAAAATCTTTGTCGGTCTCCTCCCCCTTAGTGGGCGGTGTCAAGTGTCATATTACAAAATGCATTACGTCTTTTAGAATCAAATCTTTATATAATCTTGACAAAAAAACATAACATTGGAAAGGTCTGAGTCTCAGGATTCCATATTTGGTGGTTATTTTGAGATAGAATAGTAATAGTAATATTTACAGAAAAATCTAGAAATTTGTGACAGAAAAATGCATTAAAAAAAATGCAATGGAGTTTGGATGGCACCCATTGGCTGTTTGTGGTATAACACCCTAAATAAAATCTCACAGGAACCTCAATTTTTTTCATATCAACTTCAAATTTGGAGCATAACTTATTTAGACATAAGGCTTTAATTTTATACCAATTTTAGAGTAAAACCTGTTATGTAAACTATTTATAATAAATAAAATAAAATTAATATAGTGCATTTTATTTACAGTACATTTAAACTTCTATAACTTTTTGATACTTTCATTTTTTGAAAAAACTATTTTGCAATAATCTGCTGACTTCTTTAAAAAGAGACCAACCTTAGGTCTGTATTCCAAAGTGTTAATAAATTACAACAATTTAAGTTTGGATAGTGCACTTTCATGCCTATTTTAAAAAA